TGACTTTGAGTATTTCATGCACAATGATTAACAGTCATTTGATCCAAACACACATTAAATGGTACTAAATATTGTGGAAAAAAATATATGCATACATACAAATGTTTCCATAGTCAGAGCTCAACCAAAGAAATGCTTAAGTTATGTTAATAGCTCTCAATGTAAATTGCTTTCAGTTGTTGAACCCTTATGAAACCACCATGTTATATTCTTGTAGTGAATCTTTAGCCTGCAAATCTTCATCTTAAGAATTCAAGAGATTAGAAAATATTATTAGAATTATACATCAAAAATGAATATATTATGGATGGAGAAGAACACAATGATTGAAAGGCTTCTAGTCTGCATTTCTTGAATCACTGTTCAAAAGGGGCCTTCCTGTCTAGACTGAATCAGGGTGTCATAAAGCTATGTTTTGGTTGAAACATGTTAGTTCTGAAGAAGTGTCAAAGGTGAAAGAAAATTCCCCATCTCACACTTGATTACACAGAAATGACATATGTGGACTTTTCTAGGTTTCTTTGGAATTCTAGAAAGCAATCTTAAGCATATACCATTATTATTCCTTCCTCGCCTCAATTAAGATTGTGCATCCTGGTTATGGTTATGTTTAAATAAAGTATTTCCCTTACTTATAGTGCTCCCTTTCCTTGTAATACGTTTTCTAAATTATACATTACCATTCATACATTTGATAAATTTGGTTGCAGAGAAACTAGGAACACACAAACTTTATATGACTATTCTTGAGTTTGCCAAAAAAAAGAAAAAGAAAAGAAAAGGCAAAATTGCATGGCACATCTAGGGGTTACATATGAGTGTGTAAACAGTTAGAATTTAATAGGGGTAGATAGCCTTAGATTTCTTGACCTGCAAATACTTATGCATATTTTTCCTTCCACTTCTTTTGATTAAAGAAATGCATTTTTAACACCTCATCAAAACACTGCAGTTTGAGCAGGGTAGGATTGAAGAGTGGAGGCAGTAAACTGGCTTGCAAATTTGTAAATTTTGACTGGAGCTCTTGTTTTAGAACACAGATTGCTGGTATCATGAATCAAACTGACGATATTCTTAATAGGTACATAATAAATCAAGCAATTGCTGAGTTTGCTTTATGGCAATAGAGTAGTTATTGAAATAGTGTAACAAAGCATTCCCCGCCAAATCACCAGAATTTAAATTGCTACTTAATCCAGAATGACAGTTAGTATTACTGATTAAACATAAGGGCTCTTGCTCACGACAGTGGTTGACAGGACTTTGTAGAATATTATTGCATTGTTCTGGATGGTGCCCTGCCCATTTCTAGTGGTCAGTGAGTGTTAAATAATGCCAATACTGTCAAGTACTTCTTATTTTTCACCCAAGAACATTTATAATTCTCTGCTTCATGTACTTTCTAATTCTTCATGCTCAATGATGAGAATGAAAATTAATTACTCTGGGAACGGGAATGTCGTCTTGACAAATCATTCCTCTTCTGTTAAATAACATTTTTTACCAGTGAAAGCTGGAGGTCCCTGGACTCTCTTCTGTTGTCCTGGTCTCCCATTCCTCCTGCTTCTGTCCAAAGATATTTTTAGAAATGCCAAAACTGAACAAGGATAATTGCTTTTAAATTTAGGCCTGGGATTTAGATATGATTTACTTAAAAACCTTCCTAAGTATGGCATTCGAGTCTACTTGAAATTCCCAATTCCCTATCTCTGTAGTTCAGCCAAAGATGTCTCTTTGATTTCTGATCTGCACATTCCTGGGAGCATGGGGTCTCATTTGTCTGAAAGAGAGAGCTGTAAGCCTGTTTGAATTTTCAGTTGACTTATAGTTCTTTTTTGACCTTTACTACTAATAGCTGGCAAAGAATGAAAACAGACATGTCAATCACTGTCTAGGTTTTATAAATTATTGACTGTTTCTTAAAGGATTGTAATGCCTATTTTATTGGTCTGTTGTACCACAGAAGGGGATTTATAGAGTGTCAAAAAAAGAAAAGAAAAAGAAAAAGAAAATCAGGGTTAGCTAGCATCATCCAGATTGGCTGGCAATAAAGTAATTGCAATTAATTACTATCCATTAAATATAAATTAGTAGCAATCACACCAAGGAGAGAATCAAAAGCATTTCAATCCCTAAAACTCTTTTGTCATTATCATATTTAATGCTCCATGAAGAGTTGAATTGACTAGTTTTCATGATTTTTTATTAAGCTAACCATTTCTCAATGCTTTGGTTCAAATTTTCTTCCAAAGGAGGATTCAGTCACTTACTATGCCTGCTATTCACTGCCTACCCATTTTCCTTTATTCCTTTTTGTTCCCTGAAGATTTCAGGGTCATGGCACACTGCCATTCTAACACAGTTTCTGCCATAACCATTGGGGAGCTTCAACACTCTGGACTCTCAGTTTCTTCAATTTCTCTCCTCCAATGATTTCATCCTACATTTTGGTTTAGACATTCATGCCACTGCTCATTCTCTAACCAGCTCTTCTCCAGGTGTGGTCCAATGTATCCTGGGACCCAGACACTTTCAGAGAGTTCATGG